CCACCCACCCATCCATTCACCCATCCACCCATCCATCCACCTACCCATCCTCCCATTCCATCCATCCACCCACCCACCTACCCCATCCATCCATTCATCCAGCCATCCAAAAAATATACCTATTTTGGGCACCAGTGTTATCCATGCATTTCCCTAGCATTGGATACACAGCAATAAGCGAGACACAAGGTCTCTACCCAGTGGACCTTACTCTCTATGGTGTGGAGAATTGAGCACATAAAAAACAAACTTTTCAGGAGAGCCTGGGTCGCTCAGTCAGTTGAGCATCTGTTACTTTTGGCTCAGGTTGTGATCCCAGGATCCTGGGATTGAGCCGTGCATCGGGCTCTGTGCTGAGTGTGGAGCCTGCTTAAGATTCTTCTCTCCCTCTCTCTCTCTTTCTCTCTTTCAAAAAAAAAGAAAAAAAAGCAAAGTCTTCACAAAACTTCAGATAATGATGGAAATTGTCTTTACAATGAAATAAGAGTACATGACAGAGTAATTAAGAGTAGTATTTTAGTTTGGGTGCAAGAATGGCTTTTCTGTGGGTGTATTGTAAGATAAAATATTCCAAGTGCTTCCTGGACATCTTTGATCTCACAGGACCCCAGAGTGTAAGCCTCAGTGTGAGTTCCCCTGCTCTGGCCAGGTGTGTCCCCACCTAGTGACACAGCCTGCCCCCTTGGCTAGTGTTCCTACTAGAATTGGACCAGCTGCCTCATCCCCACCTCCTAGACCGACTGCACCGCACTGGTCCTCATTCTCCCGAGTTTCAGTTCCCTGCTGGCCCGTGAAATTATCCAGACAAGCCAACATTGTCCTCTTCCAACAATCCCAAAGCCCCCACACTCCTCTGTCTACAAAGGCTGCCTCCTGCAGCCCCTTGAGGCTCACTACCTTCCTGAAATCAACCCAGTGAGACTCCCATGGTGCATGGGGGTCTCCTCTTCTGAGCTGTGAGTGTAGGCGACAAATGTCAGTCTCATCCGTCCTGTGTTTGGTGTCTGTGTTCAGCCATCTGCAACCACTTAGGGTGGGATATGTCTCCTTCACCAGTGGGGTGAATAGGGGGTGATCAGAACAGAGGATAAGGTACTTAATCTGAGATCTGAATGGCAAAGGGCCAGATATGTGAGCAGGGCCATTCTAAGCAGAAAAAAACAAAACCAAACCAAAACAAAACAACCTAAGGCAGCAAGTGTAAAGGTCCTGGGGAAGAACACAATGACACAACAGCAATGAGCTTTGGGGTAAGTGCTGGGTGGGTTTGGAGAGACTGGCTCAGCGGGCCTTGTAGGAACACCTTGAGCAATTTGGATTACAATCTACTCACAACAGGAGGCTACTGGAGGCTTGAAAGCAAGGGAGGGGGTGATTTAATCCATGGTTGTAAAGATTATTGTGCCTGCTGAGTGGGGAAAGCCTGTAAGGAGAGGTGAGGGGTGAGGGGCAAGCATAGCAGGTGGCATTCAGCCACGTGCAAGGTGGGTCCCCCGCTGGGTGCTGGGTGGCAGAAGTGGGGGGAAATGCTTAGAGCTGTAAGTGCTGGGATTTGACAAATCCTGGATGTGTGAGGTTTGGAGAAACAAGGACTCCCATATGATGCCCCAGTAAAACCAATCAAAAGTGATAGGAATCAGACTTCGCACTTATTCGGATGGCTACTTTAAAGAAGCAAAACAGGGGTGCCTGGGTGGCTCAGTCAGGTAAGCATCTGACTCTTGGTTTTGGCCCAGGTCATGATCTCACGGTTCATGGGTTTGAGCCCCACATAGGGTTCTAGGCTGACAGTGTGGAGCCTGCTTGGGTTTCTCTCTCTGTGTGCCCCTCCCCAATTTGCATGTGCTCACTTTCTCTCTCTCTCTCTCTCAAAATAAACAAATGAACATCAAAAAAACAAAACAAAAAAGCTAGAAACAAAGGAGGCACTGGGCTGGCTCAGTCCGTAGAGTATGCGACTTCTGATCTCAGGGTGATGAACTTGAGCCCAACATTGGGCATCTCTAGGGATTACTTTAATTTTTTTTAATGTTTATTTATTTTTGACAGAGAGAG